TACTTTACTTTATTCTATTCTCATATTATTTATAAGATACATGTATATTACTTTATTCTATTCTCATATTATTATTTATAAGATACATGTAATGTTTTACATCTTTTGCACCTCAGTTTTTATCATTAGTGTTAATTTATGTTCCTAATAAATGAGAAATATATGAGGAATTTGGTTTAAAATCATGTATACATATTTTTTGAGTTTTTTTGACATATATATATATATATTTCTTATATATAATGATATGATATATAGTTTATTTCATTATCATTTATTGGTGCCTTTATTATACTTTTTAATGTCCTTTATTTGCTATTGATGTGTGATGCACTATTTTGCTCTTTGGCTGTTCTAATGTTCTTTATAAATAAACTTGATTTATTTTCTTGTTATTTGATTTATTTCATGTTTAGTTAATAGTTATGTTTTAATGTATTTCTGACCTCCTCAGCCTGTTTTTTGTGCTGCTGTATCATGTAAATTTGCTCCGGTGGATTAATAAAACCATGTTAGGGCAAAATATAATAATATCTTGAATATCAGCACTTCAGCCTTAAGAGAAATCCAATACTGACCATCATTATTGGGAAATATAACATTTAATGCCTGAAATTAAAGACCCTAAATGGCAAGATTCCTCCATCACTCAGTGCTTTTACCGAATTCCACCGATTGGCCATGAAACAGAACATGTACTCATAACACACATATCACATTGACTTCAAATTCTATCACTGCAATGTAGACACATTGGTGATCAAAAGTTAATCAAATATTTACTGTGCATCAAACTGTGTGTCCGTGGCGTGGCGCTGAATTTCCACGGTTCCCAGTGAACGTAGAGCGGTCTACCTCTGCTATTTAAGTTTGCTAATTCAGAGTGCTGCGTTTTAATCTTGACCTAACCTTTTAACATTATTATTATCAGATTTTATTTGTTATTGCTGCTTGAAATAGGTTCAGGTTATTTTATTTGTACCCACGAGTAGACTCATTAATGTTTTACTCTTGATAGAAACAATTCAGACAATAGACAAATGGGATATAAACATAAAAAATGATTATAATTTAAAGTAAAGTTGATAAATGTGCTTTGTCCATATAAATAAATGTCAAACACAGAAACCTTTAATTTAAATGACAAATTTATTTTTTTAAAGCAACAATACAACACAAATGAGTATCAAAAGAAATTCAGTGCTTTTCATAATAACAATTCATGTTGATGAAATGTATTAAAATAAATAAAACATTTTTACTCAGCGTATTTCCACATGCAGTCTGTATTAATCTGAATATGGCAGGATTTGAGTGTAAACTACTCGTGTGCGTTGGATTCACTGTCAGCAGTGTACATGTTAACAAACACATTAAATCACATGTAGTTTCATCATGCTGCATTTATAATCTATTATTACTGCATGTAAACGACCACGAACGAAGCTACGACCACGTGTCTACGCACGTGTCTGGATTCTTTTACATTTTAAACCTTTAGACTCAAACCACCTGAGCTCGCATAGTTTCAACTGTCTTCACTAAAGCTTTAAGTCAAACTGTTAGGTTCAGAAATAAACTAATAATAACTTACTTTTCTTCTTAAGAAAAACTAGAATTTCTAAGTTTAACGTAAAAAAAGAAAATCTGTATTTATTTTAATATATATATAATTGCAATATTCACTGATAATATACATATATATAATTTAATATTTTCAATTGCAACTATTTAATTTCCAAGCACCAAAATAATGAAAAATCAATCAAGTTAAATACTGAATTTTCTGTATTTAAAACTCAAAAAAGAAAAGTAAATTATAAAAAAAAAAGGTAGGTCAGCAAAAACGTTTTAAATTTTATTTAAAAACTTCAAAGTTTGACCTAAAACGTGAAATCAGTTAAAATTATGAGTTTTGTCAAATTGTTTTTTTACAGTGTGCAAACACTGGCTCTCCAAACGTTTCTAAAAATTAAATACGCAAAGAAACGAAGCTGCTCCCAAACATTTTGTGCTCCCTCCGATGTGGAACTTGCGTGTGAAAGCGTGAATTTTTAGTTTGTAAGAAGGTTGAAGTCGCAGACGAGCCGAGGCACAAAGACGAGCCGCTCAAGCAGCTCGGTAATCACATTAACGTCTCTGCTAACCAGCATGCAGCTTAAAGAAACGCTCCAGCTCACCTCAACTGCACCGGAGATCCTACAGGGGTCAGAACGTTATATATTATCTATATGTTCCTTGTTGCTAAACAGCTATATGCTAATTCAATGGCCTCTCTGTAATGTCAGGATAAAGTTCTAGTGGAAAAACATTAAATACATGTGTTCATTTTGTTTTATTATCTGTTGATTAAAAGCAGTAAAATCAGCCTTTAAGGACAGGTTTGGATGGTCTTAATACAATATTCACAGGCTACACGTATGTTAAAGAGTTGGTGTAATCATCCCTTCTGTGCAAATTAATGTTAATGAGGTCCATAAATGTCAGAGTTCACACCTCCAAATGCTTTTTACAGTACACATATGGTCAAAATGTTCAGTTTAATGTCACAGAAGACAAAGACAACAAGTAAATATTCACATTTGAGAAGCTGGAAGCAGAGAATGTAGGGTATTTTTACCAAAACAAAATCAACTTTTTGTGCAGAACGAGATCTTTTACAGCAGGGGGTTCTTAAAGTGCAGATCCAGACCCGTGTTCTTCCTGTGTTGTAACATTAGCTAAGCTAGCGGCTAAGAGAGGCTTACTCTCCGGTGTTTGTGGTCGAGTGGAGACGTCAGTTCCTTAATCGCAGATACAGAAAGGGTCTAGTTTTTTGTAAATGTAAATGTCAGTGATTAATTATTTTATAACCAATCGTTCAATAAAAGTCAGAGGCCAAGCTTTAAGTGATACGTTTTAGAACGGCTGTTTATCAGTGTCGTTTCTGAAAGAAGGTTTTGCAGTCGGGATGAAGAGGAGGAGGAGTGACTAAAGTGTACTCTTTCAGTGTACGGCATGAGAGTGTTGTATTTAGACTGACGTGTCCTCGTGGTTTGGTCCCGGTAAAGCACTGCGGTCGTTTTCCAGTTTCTGTCAGATTCTGAACGTTTTCAGATTAAATCTCTACGGTTTCAGACCTGATAGAAACTCTCTAAAGGCAGCTGATCATGTGACTCATCAGTCTGATACTCTAATGCTTGTGTTACCAGGAAGTAAAAGCTGTCAAAAGCTGTTAGACATCGACTGCGGCTGTACATTTTTTGGCTACTTTTCTATTAATTTTGGCAAATAATCAGGCACCGTCAAGCAACTTTAAACCCTAAAACCCTGTTTAATGCTTGTTTCTACCCTCACTGCAGCAGAGGTGAGCCAGAGGGCGGCGGGTCTCAGTTGGAAATGTCTGCGCTGTTGCTGCGGTTGCCGCATTTGTGGTGGATGATGAGCAGGACGACGCCCAGGAAGAAGCAGACGGAGCCCACGGTGATGTAGGCGATGCCCAGGAACGGGTTCTTGCCTCCCATCCAGGAGATGGTGCTCAGGATCATCCGCTTCCTGCCCTCGAAGCTGCGAACGGGATAATCTGGGTTCGACTGGTTAAAGGCGGGAACAGTGAAATCAACATTTGTCACCATCAAACTCTACAGTTTTTTTGTTTGATTACCAGTAATACTAACTACTACTAACTAACTAACTCATATGTTGTTACACTGTTTAAGAAAATAATAATAATAAGAAGAATGTTTAAATTCTAATTTAGTTAAGAGTTTTTTTACGATATTTTTGGGGCCTCACACACAGCAAACATCAGGTCGGAGTCGAACCCATGGCCACTGCAGCAAGGACTCTGCCTCACACGGGGCACCATTTCTGCCAGTCGAGCCCGGAGTTTAAACTTTTTCTATTTTTGGCTTTTTATTTATAATTTATAACTCAACCTATCCTCAGTCTTTTTGATGCAGTTTCATTATGCAGTTTCACATAAAGGATACTGTAGACGACCTCCAGGGTGTAGTTTCCTCGCGGCAGAGTCGGAACCATGCTGCTCGTCTTGTTGATGATGCGGTAGAGTTTGCGGAAGGTCGGCAGGGCGGCGGTTCTCATCCACACGATGAAGTCCTCGTTGATGAAGCCGTTGTTGTCTGCAGCGGTGTCCAGCTCGTAGACGGGCTTGCGCCAGTTCACAGGCTTCGAGGTGCCTGAAACGGAAAGAAAAAAATAAAGTGAAAGTGACGTTTCTATGAACACTCAGAGGTTAATAACACAGAACAAGCTGCTGCTGATACCTTGGAAAGAGGCTGTGATGTTTGAGCTGTCGCCTCCAGGGTTCCTGAACTTCACGTGCTTGTCGGTCCACCAGGCGATGCCGGTGTTGGTCAGAGGAATCTGGACTCTTGTGCCGTTGGGATCGTTGTAAAACAGCTCCAGCGTGTCTGTCGCGTAAAAGGAAAGACGATTGATTAGAAATTAAATCTGATATTGATGATTGGTATCAACCTAAACAGAGCGGGAAGCGGGCTCACCGTTAAACATGCTGTTGGCGATCGCTCCACATGGCGCAATCGGCTTGCCGTCATGTTTAGCATATGGCTCGCACTCCTTACTGGGTTCCTGTAGTTGAGGAGGAGATTACAGATAAATAACGCCACGTGGACTTCAGCACGGACTTCTGTATGGTGTTGGGTTTTTTTTTTTTAGAAACAAGCTATTTTGATGTTTTTTATGTTCACTGGCAGCTTATTTATATTTAAAGTGCATCTTAATCATTGTAAAACTGTTAGTAAATATTAGTAGTTTTTTTCAATAGTAGTAATTTAACATATTTTGGAGGTAATTATGTATTTATGTCAAAGAGAACATCCAGCTACTGCTTACACTATAGTTAGTTATTTTAGTCTAAATTGTCCACAACTCTAATCATCAGTTTCAGCTGTATGCAGTTATTTTATAATTACTTCTATTCATTCCTGGTTGGTTCTTTCCCTGATGTCTTTTGTAGTTTTATATTCATTTAATTTTTTATGTCCTGTAAACAAAACTTTAAGGTCATGTCAGTACTGTCATTGTTTATCTGTTTTTTTGCTGTTGTGTTTTTAAATGTATTGTAAAGATGATTTTTTTAACCTACAGCGGTGAAAGCTAATATAATGGTTGGAAAGCTCATCAGTGAAATCTGCTGGTTAAAACATGAACACATTACAGGAAAACAGCAGGTCTGAGATCAGTGTTCTTAGTACTAGCTGTTCCTCTCCCGTCTCAGGATGTTTAACTCTGTGATTATGCATTTTAAATGTTACTGCAGACGCCCGGTTGAAGTCGTACCTTGAGGGAATCCACGTTTCCATTCAGCTGACTGTCGTCTCTGGACTTCACATAGCGACGGTGGTTCTGGTAGAAGTTCGACAGGCCGTAGTACATGAAGACGTTGCTCTGTGGATTCAAATAAAAGTATAAAAGACGAATGTCCAAACTGGCTGTGAGAGTGTTTATGGAGAGTTTTTCTAAAGCACGTTTGTCTCACTTCATACGGCTGCTCCAGGTAGAACGGCACCGTGCAGGTACACGGCCGTGTGCTGTTCCAGCTGAAGTTCTGGGAGCAGTTGAAGCACGGACTGGACATGTCGACGCCTGTGTAATCAATCTGTAGACGAAGGAAAGACAACCAAAGCTAAACAAGAGTATGGCTGTAGGAAGATCAAAAAATCATCCGTTTTAAGAATGTCTTGTTTAAATCTAACATAGTTGACTGTAAACAAGTACGCAGATGTTAATGATAGATTAGACTTTTATGTGCTGGAGGAACAAGCAAAAAGATAAATACTCATTAAATATTGTGGAAATGAAAGTAATGAGATGAGACACATGGTCGAAGGTCTGTTGTGTTATTGGCAACAGTACAATATATTCTGTCCTGTCAAAGAGAAACATACCAAACTCCATTTAGAAATCGTGCATTTTAGTGTTTCCTCTTAGCTGAGTCACGGTAAAGTCTGTACATCTCTAAACAAACCATTTCTGTAGAGTCATTGTCTATTAAAGACAAACTTCCTTCAATGTTAGTAACATATTCTAGAGGAAGAATGTGGGAACAGCAAGCAAACTGACTCAACAATGTGAATTAAATGCTGATTTTATTACTGAAACAAAATCTGAATTTCGTTTAAATATCAGCCGAATGAACTGACAGGATGTAACGTTTCACACAATGTTAACAGGAGAAGTGGAAATGTGCCGACATTAAAGTTACAAACAAATCGGTGTATTTTTAAGTGGAGTTTGGCGTTAGAGGCTCACAGCCACAGAGAACATGAACACTTTACGGTGTCTTTATGTAGAATATAACATTATATATTATTAAATATAAATGCATTATAATATCACACTGTTCCCGTACTGATATCTAACATTACCTCGAACTCCTTGATGTTGTTGGACGTCACGTACAGGCCGATGCCGATGGGGATGAAGATGAGTCCGATGATGAAGAAGGCAGGCAGCACGGTCCCCGCGGTGAGGATGGGCTGCCAGGCGGGCAGTCGCTGCTGTTTGAACGCGGTGTTCTCGGGCTTCTTGCTCCGCAGCGACCCGCCGCCTCCTCCCGCTCCTCCCGCTCCTCCTCCGGGCCCGGACACGGTGATGTGTCCGTCCTCGTCTTTGGCGTTATAACTGGACGCCATCATGATGAGCTGCAGCTGTTAGCCGGGGAGAACATATAACGACTACTGGCGGAAATGACCGAACCGCGCTGGTATTCGTTTTCGGGTTATTTCGGGGATTTAATCCATTATCGTGATTTTAAAGGAAGCTAACGACGGCAGCTCCTGCGGGAAGTTTACTCACAACAACGCCACAACGCAGGGGGACGTAATGCGCGATGACGTCACTGATTCAGTGCCGAGAGAGTGGTGCCTTCAGAGGCTGTCGGAAATATGAGCTTCGTTATGGAAGTAGACATTGAGTACATTTATGGAAGCTCATTTCTGTCGGACATTTGCACTTATATAATTAATTCATTCAAATTAATATAAAAAATAATTTAATATCTTATCTTTATCTTTAATTAAACATTAAAAAGCCAATATTTTATGTAAAATAAAAGCTAAAGAAAAGTATTTTATTTATACAAAATGTATGTTTTTATTTTCAGCTGTCGGAATATTACAGATTTTTTACAATTTTTCTTTGTGAATTTTTCTCAGTGTAATGTATGTATCTGATAATTGATAATACAGGTAACATTTAACTCTACTAAATTTAAACAGCTACATGTTTATATTTTAAATCTGCATTTAATTTTGTTGTTGCACATCTTTGTTGTCATTATTTGCCTGATGTGTTGTTATTTTCTCACTTTCAGACTTCTACCAACAGTTAACCAGGTTCTTTTCGACAAGTTGAAATCTGTTTGTGTAGTTTCTTTCAGGAAAGACACTTAACAAGTATTGGAATAAAAAAGAAAAAGTTTACGTGAAACACTTGAAGGCATCAGGAGAAAACAAAAACACTGTAAATAAAATAAATTAAAAAAAAAAAAAAAAGAGTTTTATTAAGTTACTGGATAACAGGATGAAACAATAATTCACACAAACTGATACAGTTGTCTTTAATTTCACTGTTGATACGTTTATTTTTAATCACATAAATCCACTGTTGGACAGTTCAAAGTACGTCAGCAGTTATTCTGGATTCATTGTGTATTATATTATTATCATGTCTGAGTGATTAAAGTGTCCCTATAGTCAGAAAATAATCACACAGACGTAAAACAACGTGTGTCCTGTGTATTTAAAACCACCTATAAGTGTTTTTTTAATTGTGGGATTTTCTAAAGAAAACCAAACAGAAACGTTAATGTATTCTTACGTTTATACCATCAGATAAACTTTAAACCAACACTCACTCAACGATTCAACCGTGCTACTTTCCAGACACTTCAGCAACTTTCAAAAGAAGATTTTGAATCCAGCGTAAAACAAAATTTCCACCTTGTGACAAACTGTCTCAACTGAATCTAAACACACACAGATTCAGAGTGTAATGCTTCCACACCAGAAGATCATATTAATTATTATTATTATTATTATATGTTCTCACTGCCAGGTTAAAGGGAACCAAGTCAGATTATTACTTTAAAGAACAGATTAAATATAGTTATGACTTATTATTTATTACTTGTAGGACAAATTAATTCATTGATTCTGGTATCTTGCAGTGCGACTTTCCTTTAAACAATCCTCTCCTCTACATACTCCTCTATTACGCTAACTAACCACAGTGCTGTTTAGTAAAACAGAAGGTAAAGTTCACTGCCTCAACTAACCCCAGCCTCAGACTCAGACTCCCAGAAGCCCTCAGTGGCTGACTCAGGCTGTGTATATAAAATATATAATAAACTGCAGCACAGCACAAAGAGTTGTGACGTATTTATGGTGCAACAGCTCCAAACCCTTTTTTATTGTGTGTGGGCTGATGTGGTTTTCTCCACTGGGACGACCCTAAAGGACACCATGTTCCTATGCAAATTCCAGACTGCATTTTATCTGTATGAATCTCTTCTTTTCAAACTGCAGCTTTGTTTGCATCACGTGAACAACATATAAGAGGAACTATAACCGGTGGGTCTCTGTTTGTCCTGGAGCTTCCGTCTGTCTTCAGAAACCTTCAGACCTCCGCTCAGAGTCGAGTGTTTGCTGAGGCAACCTCCATCACCAGACCTGTGGTTGGAAATTACAACAAATGTGTGTCCTTGAAGGCCACATTGGGCTCATTCTGGCTCAACAATCACATTTATTCTCTCCTTCACTAACATCTATTAGCTTGTGGTCTCCACCACCTCCTGAGAAAAATATCTGTCTCTTTAGCTGCAACCACTTTCCATTTACAAAGAGCAGTTTGATTCATTCATTCATTATTATAAAGATATTGATTAGTAAAGCTTTGACACAAATCTACAGTGAGAAACAAAATGAGCAGCAAAATAAATGGTTAATGAAAATAATAAAGAAAATAATATTTCTCAGACAAAGTTAGAAATAAGAATAATAATAAAATAATTCATATAATTGGATTTTGAACAGATTGTAACAGTTAGAGGTAGAGACAGATGGTAAAAACCTTCCTCACAACAGGTTTAAAGGTCCAGTGTGTCGGATTTAGTGGCACATCTCCTCATTAAACAGTGTATAAGCTCTATGTTCTGTATGTAGTTGAGTTCTTCCATTATCCCAA